GATTGTTTCATATATTTTTTTGATTTGTTTTTAAATTCGTAGAATTGTGGAATCTCTAACATTTTAAATTAATTTTCAGTACGACACTATGAAGTATGTTGAGCTGAGTTTACGTGATGGAGTACAGGCTAGAGAGATGCCCACCGACCAGATGATGGAGTTGGCTAACATGATGGTATTAGGGGTTGCTGCTTTAGGCTTGGATAGACGCTGGCATCCTGATGTTGCAGTCTTGTACAACGTTGTCTTGATGAGTCCAGTATGGCCAGATATGGATCCGACACCAGACTGGGTCGTCCTAGAGCCACATTACATACAGGAGTCTAGGAGGCATAGAAAGGGACGTGAGTATTGCGATGTACCTAACCCAGCACGATGATGGTAGGCATCCACGGAACAAGCGGGCACCGAGGTGTGGTACTGGCGGGCATCTAGTGGATCAACATGGTGGTCGTCGTGGTTAGTGAGACTATTATGTTTATGTTATTACTATGTACTTCTATGGATTATTTATGTGTATTATTTTTAATTTCATGATGAATTATGTTACTATTATGTTATTATTTTTAGTCATGTATAGTGTTGTTTAGTCTAAAATGAAAACTTTAACTATAAAAACAACAAACAACAACAACTAGGACATTTTATAAAAGTCCCAACAAAAACAACTTCAAATCGTAACAACATCAAACAATAACAACTACTACATTTGATAAAAGTTCCACCAAACTACATTCCACGTCTATTACCACTACTTCCTATTCTACCACCTCTCGCATGTTGTTGGCCACCACTTTCTCTTTGCTGGCTCCCACTGCCACTTGATTGGCCACCACAAGTTGTTGCATTATGTCCAGATTGGTTAGAGCTCCTACACACTTGTTGCGCTACACCCTCTCTTGGCCAATCTATCTCGTTGTGAATTCTTGTTGATTGTGGCCTCCACAGCTTCTTAATCATGTGCACATTAGGATGGAGAGTAGGGCCATCATGCTTCTTCCAACCCTTAGGTTCATCAAGAGGTGTGAAGCTTGTCCCATAACAAGCCAACATTGTTTCAAGCTTGTAGATGTCGTTTACAAACCTATACGGGTTAGCCCCCATTCGGTTGCAAGTTGCAATGGCATGAGAGCAAGGAATTTTTTTCCTTGAAATTTCCCACAAGTGCAATATCTCGCCCGATTGTTGTCATCGAAGTGCACTGTGAGTGTGTTCGAACCCGTCATGTTGAAATTGTTGGGAGGAGTCTGAACTACATAGATGCCCTGACGTCGATCAACCTCCGTCATGGAATGTCCAACTGCCTTTTGTGACCATGGCTTCATAAGCTCTTCGCATGATTTGGTGTACTGTGAATGACCACTTCTGATTTGTGCTTCTGTCTCCAACCTCATCTTATCGAATTTCTCTAACAATCGCCAATAAGTATGTTGCACAAGAGAAGCTATAGGAAGTGAACGAATACCTTTGAAAACACTATTGATGGTCTCTACCATGTTGGATGTCAGGATAGACCATCGACGCCCACCATTATAGTTATCATATGCTAAGCTCCAACAAATTTGATTTTGGTCCACCCAGCTATCACTAGAAATATTCCTATTAGCGGCCATCTTCTTAAATTGCTCAACTTGACGATCGAACTTGTCCAAGCGTTTTTCTCGGGCTAACAAAATAAATAACCCAACGAGTTAGACAAATTCATGAAAAAATTAAATAAAAATAAATAATACATTAAAATAAATAAAAATAACGATGAAGAAGGCTTACCGACTCGAAATAGTTGGTTATACATAATTTTTCTTTTAGTCTTCCTTTGCAAGTTGCTTGCATAGTGTCGCATGCACCACCTCCACTCCCAACCTCTTCCGATGTCACTCATGGCTTCATAGAGTCCAGCATGTCTATCTGAGATGATGCATACATCATTTCGATCAGTTAAACCTTGAACTCGACTTATGAACTATGGCCAAATATCAGTATTCTCGCTCTCCACTATGGCAAATGCAATTGAAAAAATCTTTTTCCAGCCATCAAATGGGCTCGCCATGAGTAGCACACTGTTATACTTTCTAGTAAGAAATGTTGCCTCAAAAACCATGACTCCTTGACAATTCTTGAATCCATCTATACAAGGTCCATAAGCCCAGAATACTTGCCGAAAGATCAAATGACCAGGTTGCGATGAAGGAACTCTTACCCAATCAATCACTGATGTTAGCATTTTTCTCTTTACCACCCGCAAGAATTTTTGCAAATAATCGTAGGATTCTTCCCAATTTCCATGCAACTTCTCCAATGCTCTTTGTTTCCCATACCAAGCCTTCTTGTAAGTAACTTGCATATTAAACTTATCTTTCAACTCGGCCTGCACAGTTAAAACACTCAGATTTGGTTGAGCACGTAACAATGCTTCACAGACTCAGATATAACGTCGACATCAAGATGACGATGATCCGTCGGTTGAGTCGTATTGCTATAAGAATGCACCAACTCGGCCTTTCTCATATTCCATTCGCTTCCAACATCTCGACAACCAAACAGCACCATCCAAGGATAATTGTCATCCTTTTTCTTAAAGCATCTGATCTTCCAGATTGAAGGTGATGACTCCACCACGACATATTGAAAGTTGTGTTGTAGTGCGTGATATTCAACCGCCACCTGTGCAGCTTGTTTCGAGTGAAATATCTGCCCCTTGTAGAATTCTCCTTCAAAACCAGCAACAATAGGCATTGGAATTATGTCATATGAATCAACATATGATAATTCGTCGTCCTCTTCATTACCCTGCAAGTAAAAATATGGAGGATAATTAGACTACTCTCCTTCCCTATCCTCCTCCTCCTCCTCCTCCTCCTCCTCTCCGTCATCGTAGTCATGATCGGATGACACGCTCCATGTCTCATCTTCTTCCTCTCCACCCCGATCCTCACTGAGCTCGCCATGTATCTCAACACCCAAACAATAAGGGTGATGTGCCATAAAATCGAAAAGCACATTCAAGCTATCATCATCCACAATAGGCATCGCATAATGAAATAAAACACCATTCTGCCATTCTAGAAGACAGTAAGTGAAACCTGTGATCACATCACTATCTTTTACTGCTTTGTCTTTACGCTGTATTCTCGGAATTAGATTCTCACAAAGTTTGTGATATGTCACCCTGGATGGAATTGTCAACTGAAAATTTTTACCACCAATGAAATGGACGCCCAAATTGTCCTCTACTTTCTTCGATTTCCACCGAACGACTAGTTCAAATCTTCTAAAATCGCTACATAAAAAACAAACTCACTAATTACTAACTAAACAAAATCATAATAGCATTTGAAGTATATAAATAAAAACAGAAACATTACTTGTTAACCTCTGCTTTCTGAACCGAGCCGAATGCTGAACCGGAAAAGAGAGTGGTTTATGGTTCAGTGGTTAATCGTTACAAAACGTTGGTGAACCGTTAATGAAATATAACACAAGACCTGTATAGTACACTAATTTAAGAATTAAGTAATCACTGACCATAAATAATTTCAAATTCATATCATCACAAAAATATCCAACAAATCATTCACACGGTCTCAAAAAATAAATCAAAATTTTTTTAAATTCAAGTTAAAAGTTACGGACCAGTCGGTAGTAGACCACGTAAAGTCGACAATGAGGTTAGAAAATGAGACGAGGAAGCAACAATAAAATTAATAATTTTAGTTTGATGGTCTTAGTTTACTGTAAAGTATTTGTTTAACAAAATTGTTGGTAAGATGTGTCAAAAAGTGGACCGGTTAACCCTAGTAATTCATCTGGCTTTATGTTGAATAGTGAGAAATCATTTGATCCATTATTAACCGTCCAAACATTGAACTGAACTGTTGTCGTACCAGATTTGACGATTCTACTGGCCGACCCGTTAATCCGATTTGGTTCTTATAATAACGCTATTAACAACACTTGGGCATTGGGCCGACACGGGAAGGGCACGCTTAGGGCCCGTTTATTTCGTGTCGTGCTTGGCACGGCGTGTCAGTTTTTGTGTTGTGCTGTGTCAGCCCATTTGTTGATTTTGCTAGGTCCGGCCCGGGCATTGTTTTTATCGTGTCGTGCTTATTCTTGCTCGTGTCTTGCTTATATTCTTGTTTAATGAAAAGAAAGAAAATAAAAGAGGAAATGAAAAAGAAGGAATAAATTGGACGGAGAATGAAAGTATTAACCGAGAATGTTCAAAAAATGTAACAAATAATGGGCGAAAGAGAATTGGAAGTATAGCGGGTGTGATTTGACTTTGTTTAATACTTCGTCTATTTTTTACTTATGGTAGTAATTACGTATATATATTTATGATCACTTCTAACAATAGTAAATAATTTTTAATGTACTTGTATTTTTAAGATTTGGACCTATAAGCCTTTCCACTTCTATCAAATAAATATTCTTTTCATGTCATGTTCATTCTTATACTCAATCGAGTCTCAAAAATATTAGGTCCGGCACGATCCATTTATATACTGTGCCGTGCCCGTGCTTATACCTGTGCCCATGAAATTTAGGTCCGTCACAACCTAGAAATTATCCGTGCTCGGTGCCAAACCAGCCTATATATTTCGTACTCGTGCCGTGCATTAACCGTATGGTGTCGAGCTAGCCCGTGGGCTGCCCGGCCCGTTGCCACGTACACTTACGGGTCTTCGCCTACGGCATAAAGATAATAAGAGCAGCAGTACTGCAGCAGTATTGTCAATTGTGGAACGTGAGGCCGCCAGCATTCACCAATGGGAGAGCGACAACAATCCTGCCACCTGTCTTCTGAAGGCGAAGCGGTAGCGTTAAGTCACCAAATCCAAAACTTGACTTCACAACAGCGGCTCCACTACTGCCTGGCGACCGGATCCAAAGAGAACCTAACCTGAGTGAGCCCAGAGCCAACGCAGGAGGCGGCGGAGTCGCACAAAGGCGATAAGTTAGCGCCCTTTTGTTTAATTAGTAGTATGGTTTTCTTATGAAGATGAAAAATATTATTACAGAAACAAATCAATGCAACTTGTACGTCAGTGGTGTACGTAGGTGCTATTACAGGGCTGAAAAGGTAAGAAGAGGAGAAGCAAGGAAAAAAAAAGAGTAGGATGGAATGGAAATCAAGCAAAAAGAAATCATCGGCAGCAGGTTGAGGAAAACACAGCTCCAGTCCCTGCAAAACTAAACGAAAAAGCATAAAAAACCCAAGTAGAGACAAGCAGAAGCGATGCTACCAAGGTTGTCAACCCACTTTGACGCTGACCCGGTGAGAAAAACGGGTCGCACACCCCGTCGGGTCGACCGTTATACAGTACCGGGTTGAAGGTCAAATTGTGTCATTTTTTTCTTTGGTTTGCGAAATGCGCATATTTTCCAATTTTTCTTTTCGCCTAACTCAACCTTTGGAATCCTAAGTTGAATATTTGAATATTGATGTATATAAGTGTGTGTGAATTTTCACTTTATGCTAGATCTAAGTACGATATGTTATTTTGGTGTAATATTATATGTTATAACTCATATGTTAGATAAGATTTGATATAATTTATAAGGAAAAGTACAATATAATGACTCTTTCCATATTTTCGGGCCAAACCGGGCTAGAACGGTTGACCCATCAACCCTTGACCCACTAGCTCGACCAGGTCCTGGTCAACCCGCGGGTTGACAACCTTGGCATCTACACTCAAGAGCCATTTCCTAGGTGAAATAATAATAATAATAATAATTTAAGAAAACTCAAAAAGTACGTGGTAGTTGTTATTAATTGCTGATCACCTTTTTTTTTTCAAATGCAGCAATGCATTGCATAGAGGTGGCAAATGGATTGATCCATGGATTGGTGGATCCATGGATCAAATGGGTTGGATCTAATGGATTGATGAATTCATGGATTGAATCAAGTGGATTGGTGGATTATGAATAAATCCAAATGGCATCCTCAACGAAGGACCAATATATAAAATGTGAAAATTTTAGGTACTAAAATGTCATAATGAAAAATTTTAGGTGCCAAACGTAATTTTCCAATGATATTTTTCATATAAAAATTAAATTTTAGGTACAAAATATAAAAAGTATAGGTACCAAACAATAATTTGCCATTTGGAACTATGGATCAATCCATGAATCCACCAATCCAATTGGATTTGGATAAAATGGATTGGGTTTAAATAGATTAGATTAGGTGGATATCTTTAATGGGTTGATAGATTGGATTGAGAATTGCCACCTCTAGCATTGCATATATAGTCATGATTAAAGTCATTTTGAGCTCCTTCCAAAGATTCTGGATTATATAGTTAAGAAATATATAATGTGTCGCGCACAAGTCTCCTATGATTCGATTTTAAGAAAAAACGAACACTGTGTGTCTCATTCTGTGACCTAGAAACAAAAACGTCGGGATGAGATACGGTGACAACCCCATTAGGGGGTTGTGAGATTGACAACACATTGTATAACCATAGGATCCATTCTCTCCATTGTCTTTTTCTTCTTTTTTTCAAATCAATGGTACAGATTGAATTAAGGGTATTTTTGGACGAAAAAATTGACCACACTAGATTATTACCCCTATTAATACCTAAAACCCTACATTCTCTCTTTCCTCTCTCTCTCTCTCACGCCATCTTTCTTCTTCATATTCTTCTTCTTCTTCCTCCCATCTCTTCCCCCTCTCACTATCAGCTGCCACCACCGTCGTCGTAGCCGTCCTGCCGAACCGCCACGCCCTCCGCCTCTCATCACTACTGCAGCCCTCCCGTCGTCGAGTCCTCCGCCTCCTATCACTGTCATGTCCCTCGCCCCACAACCATCGCGACCTCCTCCTCCCACCACCACCATCGTCACAACCCTCTCGCCGCCCTCTGTCTCCCACCACCACCGTCGCCACGAGGTCACCGCCTCTCCCCTGCCTCCCCCTTTCGTCATCCCTGATTTTTTTTCCCAGATCTGTGATTTTTGATATTTCAGATCTGATTTTTTGTGCTAGTCTCTAGTGGTACACTACCAGTGGCAATGGTACCGCTACCAGTGATACTGGTACTGGTACCGCTACTAGTGGTACTGGTACTGCTAATGGTACCGCTACAAGTGGTACTGGTACTGCTAAAGGTACCGCTACAAGTGGTAATGGTACCGTACCACTAGCACTGGTAGCGTACTACTAGCAGTCTAGCACTAGTACATTTTTTAACGCACTAGTAGCGTACCACTAGCATTGGTATATTTATTACAAGTAGACTAATGGATTAGTACACTTTTTAACGCACTGGTACATTTTTTCAGGTTGTCGGAGGGAGTCTGCCGGAGAAAATTCGCCGGAGAAAAAGTCTGTCTATCGAAGCGGAGTGGCCGCAGGAGAAAGGAAGAGAGAGAGATAGATAGAGATATAAATTTATAGGATTTAATTTAAAAAAAAATTGTATTTAATATGTGTTTTTAATTCCCAATATGATTAATACAAAAAGGTAATTAATATATTCCTTTTTCATACCCAAAATACCCTTGGTTGTCAATTTGACAACCCCCTTAGGGGTTGTCACCGTATCCCGTCCTAAAACGTCTCTGAAAAAATCAGGAAAATTCTAGAGACGATGGTTTGCCTGTGTACAGAAGCAAGCAATATACATTGATATATTGTTGGCTATGTGCATGCCATTATTTAGGGGTAAATTGTAAGATTGGTCACTGGAATTACTAAAGACGTTCGTGTTTGGTCACTAAAAATATTTAATTTCATTTATAGTCATTAGATTTAATAAAACCGTCCAAGTTTGGTCATTCTCCATTAGACTTCGTCTGTCTCCGTTAACTCCGTCAGTTAATTGCTGACGTGGCTAACAAAAATGCTAATTTTTCCTACTTTAATTTGCCACGTCATAAAATTTGAGCTGCCTTGTCATCAAAATCACCCACGTCAATTTTTCCAAACCCAAACTCAAACCCAACCCTTACCAACTCGAGACCCAACCCTAAACCCTACCACCGCCTCCCCAGCTTCTCTCCCATTCCATTTTCCAACGATTCTCTCCTTCAATCTTTTGACCGCTCAACTTTCCTCTCTTTCTTCCCGGATTGATGATGGCATATGCAAGTGCCGGCTTGCGGCTGTGATGGCGATGAAGAGTGGCGACAGGACTCAGGTGGGAGGTCTAGCAGCGCCGACGACGCGGTGGTAGGAGGTCGTCGATGGGCAATGCAGTCAAAAGCGCGATTCTACCTAGAAGCGGAAAAGGGGTAAAATCGTAAAGCGTAGAATCAAAGCGTAAAAGCGTAAGTTTTTTATGCATGCTATAAAATAGCTAAAAATTCCTGTTAAGTACGACACATACTATGTAAAATATAAGTATACGTAATTTAGATAAGTTAATAAGCACCTGCAAATCATGTCTAAAGTAGAGAAACTCATAGCATCTTAACAATAAATTCATAAACATTGATCTTAACTATAAGTCACATTTCCCTTTATGCTAATGAATTTAGGAAGGGCCTAGCTGGTGAATTAGATTACTCTATTAAAGCTGAGAGTGCATCCAAATATATTATATGTATCTTTTCATATGAAATGTATCACATTATTGGTGATTAACTTTAAACTATACTTTTTATAATTAATTAAAGTATAATTAATGAAAAAAATACTCATTTGGTGAAGTAGAAACGTAAAAGCATAAAGCATTTTGGTGAGCTAGAAGCGTAAAAGCGTAAGCTTTTAAGCTTTAAAACGCAAGTTAGTCTGATTTTATACATTAAATATTTTATATAGAAACGAAAGTATTTTGGTATCCTAAAAGCGTAAAACCCTAAGTTTTTAAGTTTTAAAACGCGATTTTAACTGCATTGTCGATGGGCACCAAAAATGTTCGACAACTGGGATTCAACTATCTGCCGGAGAAGAAATATGAAACGCCATATCTTCTCGCTGCAGATCAAAGATCCCATACAACATATTAAAAATAAATTACAATCCCTAAAAACCCAGAGGAACCGCTGTACCTTGATGGCCTTCTCGGTACCGGTGCCTCGCCCTCCTATTCATTGTCCTCACCACTGGCAGAGACTTATCGACAGCGAGATGGAGATGAAGATTCAGAACCAGTTCCCACGGGATTATGGGGTGTTGCTTCTGTTTGCCGACTTTACCCCCTAGGACGCTAGTGAATCTGGAGTTGGAGGAACCAACGGAGAAGTAGGGCGAGAGTCTCAGACACAGATCTAGTCTCCACCGCCGTCGTGAACTAGAAAGGAGGAGCGGAGCTGCGATACAGATCTAGTCTCCGCCGGATCTTCTCCCTCTCGCCGCATGTCGTCTCCACAACCCAATCTCACCAGAACCACCACCAAACCCCTGATTTTCCTAGGGACGGAAACCATGTTGGCTTGAATCAGAGACATTGGACGATCCGATAAGAGCAGGTTCGACAACTTCTCCAATGTCACCGTGATTGTTTTCCTCTGCCTGGTGCCTGTAGTAACTGAGCTAGCTTATAATTACTTGTCTGATCGCATCGCTCGGATTCTCGCCGCAAATGGCCGCGGCGACCAACTCTTTGTCGTGACTCTGAAATTCAATTTTGATCAATTTTTTGGACTAATTTATATTTTCAAGAAAGACAGTTGGAAGGAAGAACCGAAGAAGAAGCAGTAAAAGAGGGAGAGAGAGAGAAGCAGGGGAAGAGAGAGACAGAGCCAGTCTGTTGCGTGTTCATCTCAACAACAGCGAAAGAAGATCAGAGGTGTTGGGGCTTGAGTGGGTCGGTTATTGAGTTGGGTTTGGTTAAAGGGTTGAGTTTGGTTGGACAAGATGACATGATGGTCGGGTTTATAATTTTTGTGTTAAATTAAGCTGATTAGGTGATTCCTTCTGCCACTTCAACACATAACGATCAACATTAACGGAGACTAATGGAGAGTGACCAAACTTAAACTGTTTTATTATATCCAGTGACCATTAATGAAATTAAATATTTTTAGTGACCAAATTTAAATGTTTTTTGTAATCTTAATGACCAATCTTGCAATTTACCCCATTATTTAGCTTTCTTTTGGTTGATCAATACAAGGAAGTCCTTGAACCACCATTAACAAAGAAGTCACCGGGTTAATTCCCTAAATATTGTTTTTTTTTAATTTGCCACGTATATTGTGTTTTTAAAAATATTTACAACAATATTGTGTTTTTTTATATGTGTAAAGCGTCGACGCCCTAGACTCAGGCGCTGCCGCTGGTTCCACTCCAGCACCACCCCTCACCATATATACTGCACCTTTCCTTCGGTTCTTCATCACCAAAAAACTGAAAGAAGTTCTGAAAGAAGCTCTGGTGTTGCTGTCTGGTTGCTGGGAAGATGGCTAATAACAGGTAAGAGTCGTATTTATTTTTTTTCATGTATTCATCATAATGATTTTGTCTAGTTAGTAATTAGTGAGTTTGTTTTTTATGTAGTGGTTTTAGAAGATTTGAACTAGCTGTTCGGTGGCGATCAGAGAAAGTAGAAGACAATTTGGGTGTCCATTTTGTTGGTGGTCTAAGTTTCCAGATGACTATTCCATCCAGGGTGAACTATCAGAAACTTTGTGATCATCTAATTCGGAGAATACGGATTAGAGACGAAACAGTACAAGATAGTGTTGTGATTACAGGTTTCACTTACTGTCTTCCAGAATGGCAGAATGGTGTTTTATTTCATAATGCAAGGCCTATTGTCGATGATGATAGCTTAAATGTGCTTTGGAATTTTATGGCACAAAATCCTTATTGTTTGGGTGCTGAGATACATGCTGAGCTCAGTGAGGATCGAGGTGGAGAGGAAGACGATGATGACGGTGATGACACATAGAGCATGCCATCCGATCATGATTATGATGACGGTGATGACGGAGATGAGGAAGACGATGATGAGGAGGAGGACGACGACGACGACGGGGAGGGAGGAGAACAACCTAATTTTCCTCCATATTTTTACTTGCAGGGTAATGAAGAGGACGAGGAATTATCATATGCTGATTCATATGGCGTAATTCCAGGGTCTACTGTTGGTGGTTTTGATGGAGAATTCTACAAGGGGCAAATATTTCACTCGAAACAAGCTGCACAGGTGGTGATGAAACACTATGCACTACAACGCAACTTTCAGTATAACGTGGTGGAGTCGTCACCTTCAATCTGGAAGATCAGATGTTTGATGCACAAGGAGGACAAATGTCCTTGGATGGTGCGGTTTGGATGTCGAGAAATGGGAGGCGATTGGAGCGTGAGAAAGGTCGAGTTGGCGCATACTTGTAGCAGTACGACTCAACCGACGGATCATCGCCATCTTGATGTCGACGTGATATTTGAGGCCGTCAAACACTTGGTACGTGCCCAACCAAATCTGAGTGTTCTAACTGTTCAGGCCGAGTTGAAAGATAAGTTTAATATGCAAGTTACTTACAAGAAGGCTTGGTATGGGAAACAAAGAGCATTGGAGAAGTTGCATGGAAATTGGGAAGAATCCTATGATTTTTTGCAAACATTCTTGCGGGTGGTCAAGAGGAAAATGCCAACATCGGTGATTCATTGGGTAAGAGTTCCTTCGACTCAACCAGGTCATTCAATATTTCAGCGAGTATTCTGGGCTTATGGACCTTGTATAGATGGATTCAAGAATTGTCCAGGCGTTATGGTTGTTGATGGAACAGTTCTTACTGGGAAGTATAAAGGAGTGCTACTCATGGCGAGCTCATTTGATGGACGGAAGAAAATTTTTCCAATTGCATTTGCCATAGTCGAGAGTGAGAATATTGATAGTTGGCCATGGTTCATAAGTCACGTTCAGGGTTTGACTGATCGAAATGATGTATGCATCACCTCAGATAGACATGCAGGACTCTATGAAGCCATGAATAACATCGGAAGAGGTTGGGAGTGGAGGTGGTGCATGCGACACTATGCAAGCAATTTGCAAAGGAAGACTAAAAGCAGAATTATGTATAATCAACTATTTCGAGTCGGTAAGCTTTCTTCATATAATTTTGTTACTTGTTTTGATGTAATTTTGTCATGAATTTATCTAACCCGTGTGGTGATTTATTTTATTTTGTTAGCCGGAGAAAAACGGTTGGAGAAGTTTGATCGTCAAGTTGAGCAATTTAAGAAGGTGGCCGCTGATAGAAATATTTCATGTGATAACTGGGTGGATCAACATCAGATTCGTTGGAGTTTAGCACACGATAACTACAATGGTGAGCGTCGTTGGTCTATCCTGACATCCAACATGGCAGAAAGCGTCAATGGTATTTTCAAAGGTATTCATGCACTTCCTATAGCTTCTCTTGTGCAACATACCTATTGGCGATTGGTGGAGAAATTCGATAAGTACAGGTTGGAGACAGGATCAGAAATTAGGAGTGGTCCTTCACAATTCTCCACCAAGTGCGAAGAGCTGATGAAGGCGTGGTCACAAAAGGCAGTTGGACATTCTGTGACAACTCTTGATCGAGCTCAAGGCATCTATGTAGTTCAGACTCCTCCCAACAATTTCAACATGACGGGGTCAAACACACTCACAGTGCACTTTGACGACCCCAACCGGACGGGATTTTGCACCTGTGGTAAATTTCAAGGAAATAAAATTCCTTGCTCTCATGCCATTGCAGCTTGCAACCGAATGGGTGTTATGCGTATAGGTTTGTCAACAATGTCTACAAGCTGGAAACAGTGATGGCTTGTTATGGGACAAGTTTCGCACCTCTTGGTGAACCTAAGGGTTGGAAGAAGCATAATGACCCTACTCTCCATCCTAATCTGGACATGATTAGAAAGCCGGGGAGGCCAAGATCAACACGAATTCACAACGAGATGGATTGGCCAAGGGAGGGTTCATCACAGCAAGTGTGTAGCAACTGTAACCAAGCGAGACATAATGCATCAACCTGTGGTGGCCAAGCAAGTGGGAGTGGGAGCAACCAAAGAGGGAGTGGTGGCCAACGAAGTGCGAGAGGTGGTAGAAGAGGAGGAAGTAGAGGGAATATACGTGGCTGAGAAGTTAGTTCGAATGTAGCAGTTGTTGTTTTTCTTTCGATTTATCTCGCAGAAGTTGTTGTTGTTTGAAGTTGTTGTTTGGAGTTGTTGTTGTTTGGAGTTGTTGTTATTTGAAGTTGTTGTTTGGACTTTTATGAACTGAACTAGTTGTTGATGTTTGTTGGTTTTATATTTAAAGTCTCAATTTAGACAATAGCACTAAGAACATTAGATTAAAAATAGTCCAAAATAAGTACATAACAATAAATACTCTCAAGTAAGTACATAATAATAATAATGCATAGTCACAAAGAACATAATAATAGTCTCAAGGAAGTACATAATTACATAACAATAAATAGTCCTCAACCACCACGCCGACCACCACGACGACCACCGTGCTCTGCCACTAGATGGCCGCCAGTACCACACCTCGTTGGCCTCCTGTCTCGTGGAGGCAACTGCTCATCTCTCTCCACCCCATCATCCTGATCCTGTGTGCCGAACATATCATCTACTTGAGACTGAACATGCTCATCCGGTGCACCCTCTCGTCGCTGCTGCTCATATGCCCAATGAGATGTCTGCAAGTCCTGATCCTGAAACTGCAGACCGACACGCTCCCACTCATCGACGTCCAAATGTGGCAGGTCTGTACTACCTGATCCCATGTGCCCGCCTCCCATCGTAGTATGCTGCGGTGTGTGAAAGCTATCCTCCTGTGGCTGAAACTGAGGGCCAGAAGAACTGGTGCCTGCCTGAAATCCGGTAAAAGTAGGCCTGACTGGCTGGAATGTGAAGGTCGATGTAGGTCTGACGAGCTGACGATCTGAGTACCTCACTCCTCGAGGTACGTCACGCTGCTCACGTCGCTGTCTCCTCCTCCTGGGCTCCTCTATGAACTGTGGCGGTGGCACGCCCCAGGCCGATGACTGAGTCCTACGCTCTGGCCAGCTAGCTAAGCTGCGCTCATCGGGGTACCACTGTATCGGCTCTGTATCAGGATGTTGGCGACTGCTAAAACCTAAAGCTGTAACCCCTGCCGCCAACTAGTCAACATACTCCCCCATCTGGTCGTATGATAGCCCTCCTGATCTCATCCCATCACGTAAACCCTGCTGAACGGACTCCATGGAGTCGTACTGCAAATTTAAATGGAAAATATCAGAAATTCTATACATCTAAAAACAATTAAAACAAAAATTTTAATTACTAAAAAAACTCACCGCAACGATCAGTGCAGCAACTCTCTGTGTGCCTGAACGTCTAGTGACATCTCTATACCACTCTTGATGCTCCGAGTGGTAAGCTAATTCTTCGTCAGTGTAGCTCGTCTGTGCTACGAACTCATGTCGACGGTCCCACAGCTCAATCGACTCGCTGGCTGCCTGTATGAACTGTTGTCCACGTGAAGGCCCATGCTGTCCCTGACGAAGAAAAAATCTAATCTCAGCCGCGGAATGTGGAGGATGAGGCCGATCCTGAATCGTCCCAAACTGTCCGAGCACGCGATCTGGATGATGCCACATCTGCGATGAGAAGCAGATCAACGGAACAACTGCTCGAAACGTGTGGGACTGGGGCACAGTACCGCTGTAGTCCTGACCTCTATGATAGTACGGACGCCACTGCACACAAGGATTGGTCACATAATTACTCCTAAATCTATAACAAATCAATTAAAACTATTATATAAAACGAAATGATATATACTAACCACGAATGTCGTGCACTCGTCAAACCACAGCTTGTACAAGTAGAACTGATCTCCATGCTGACGGGTGTGGGCCGGAAGCCACCGAAGGCCACGTGGCACTGCGTCCTGAGTAATTTGCTCACCCGTCACCGCATGTAGTGGTGATGTATGAGGAAACCGCTCCCACGTCCAGATCATCAGCAAGGCGGCCCATCCACCAAAGTCACCACCCAGTGAAGAAGATGCCGTCATCTGCAGCGCCAATCTACCCATCTCACGGTACAAGTACGACAACACAGCTGCTCCCCAAGCAAACCTCCCTGCTCTGTGCCAATCCTCCACCAAAAGTAGGTACTGCAGGTGGACTGAACCTCCAGACCGATCGGAGAACAAGACACCTCCCATCAGAGATAGTGCATACGCTCTTGCAAACTGCTCTGTCGTCTGGGGTGATGTAGAAAGCGGCAGCTCATCGAAAGTCTCCCTCAGCCAAGAAATCCGGATGACGCCGCCACCAAGATCAGTAGGAGCCTGTCCTAATAGTCGAAGACACATACCCGACCAGTCCTCGTCGGGTATGTCTACTACGACGGCATCACCGTCGATCGCTAATCCGGTGAGCGGGGCAACGTCCTCTAGGGTGATCGTCACCTCACCGAACGGCATGTGAAATGTCGATGTCTCGGGTCGCCAACGCTCCACGAGCGCAGTAATCAAACCCGGATCACCGGTAAGAGGAGCTAGTGGCAGAACACTAGACAGGCCGGCATCAACGAGATACGGCAGGTACAATGGATTGTATCGAACTAAATTTCCAGTATGACGAATGTGGAATGGTCGATCACCAGCCTATAATTAATGCACAAAACTATATTAATTCAATACCTTCAATTCACCTAATATTTATATTTATATATCTAAAATAAACTTTTTCTAATATATATAATACAATCGTAACTTAATCTAATTCTATTCCTAATTTAATTTAATTCCAATCGTAATTTAATTTAATTCTATTCTATTCTATCTTGTTATTCGGCTAATAAATAAAACTATAGAAATAGTTTGAAAAAAACTTACCTCATTTTCCCAAACTACGTCAATCCGATGGTGACCAACTGACCATGCCCCTAAAGAAGTTCCGGATCAATCGGAGCAGTATCGATCGTCGCAGGTGGTGGTCTCATCGAACAAGGATCGATAAGCCTAGGAACTGGGGAAAAAAAATATTAGAACATAAAAAAAATTAAATATTAGAACATAAAAAAAATATTAGAACTGGAAAAAAGTGGCTGCCGGCGAGAATCCAGCCGCCGGCGGCGAGAATCCGGCCGCCGCCGGCGAGAGAAAAAAACTCACCCCTGTACCGTTCGCCGCCGACGTCACCGCCGCCGCCCTCGGCCTCTTCCTCTGCCGCCGGGGGCTTGTTGCTCGTCGTCGAACATCCTGCGTCGCCGTTGTTGCTGGGGCGCTGCCGCTCTCTTCGTCACGCCGCCGCTTGAGTCTGAGGCGCTGCCGCCTTTAGCTAGACTTCGCCGCTCGGTTATTGGCGTCGGCGCTGGTAGGGTGAAGGAGGGGATGGAGGGAGGATGAGAGGAGGTGGGTGGTAAGGGAAGGGATGAATGGGTGTCTGGTGCGAGAGGACGAGGGAGGGGAATTAAAAAACAAAGGAAGCCAGCGAGGGCGCCCCAGTCTATGGCGTTGGCGCCATTTGAAATTTTCAAAAATTTCAAATTGCGCCAACGCAAAAATTTCAAATTGCGCCAACGCCAGAGACTGGGGCGCCCACGGTGGCTTCACCTTTAAAATCTCTATTTGCTGAGTCTCGGGCGCCGTCGCCAACTTCCCTCATCAAAACACAATATTGTTGTAAATACTTTTAAAAACACAATATTCGTGGTAAATTAAAAAAAAAACAATATTTAGGGAATTAACCCGAAGTCACCGAAATCTAAGTTGACTTACCTTATCCTCCTAAAGAGCGAATGTCAAATAATGGTCTCGCTGGGCTAAATAAATAACTAGAATTGATATATGTAACAAACAAGTTATTATTCAATGAGAAAAAGGGGTGCAAAGCTCACTGAACTACAGTTTCTAAACCTGTAGGATTATGCCCTTAAACCCCCCAAAAGAAAGGGGACTAAAAAACGAATTAAAAAAAAAAAAAAAAAAAAAGAGGTAAGGAAAGGAACTAAAGAGGAAGGGAAGTGAGAAGAAGGAATGGGCAAAAGCATTAATGTATTATCCTCCTGTTCTGGCTGTATATTTTTAACTTCTTCCCATTTCAGTCCTCAAACTTGCAAATTTTGTCCGTCTATCTTTCCCCAACCTTTTATTGTTACATCACCGCACAGGCATTGGGATTTTCGTCACTAAAGATCTGCGGCGGATAGGCGTACAATTCCATGGCGGACCTGGGTGGGTAGTAAATATACTCATCTCTCTTCACCTCAACCACTTTGGTCTCTTCTCCGGCAGCTGGCGCTTCCGCCGCCTTGGCGTCCCCCTCACCTTCCTTCTTCTCCTCCGGCTTCGGATCCTCTCCACCACCGCCGCTGCCTTCTTTCTTGTCCTTTTCCTCGCCGCCGACGTCAGCAGCTGCGTCGTCGCCTTTCTTCTCTTCCTTGGATTCTTTACCGCCTTCGTCCCCGCCTTTGCTTTCTTCCTTCTTTTCAGGCTCTTGCTTCACGATCAAAGCGTGCTTCCCCGTCCTTTTGTGCACGTACTCCACCAGCTTCTCCGCCTCCAACACTCCCTTCACCGTCACCTGAGAGCTCTTCAGATCTGCTTCTGCCGATTCCACCCCTGTTCATTTTAACACCCACGAGCAAATGTTTAGCCAAGAGAGAAAAAAACAAAAAAACCCACGAGAAGCTGACTCAGATTCAGATCCGTTTTACAAGAAAGTAGATGGCTTATTGCTTTCAATTCCCATTTGGGTTTGCTGGGATTTATGACACCCACAAAGTGGTTGTTTAATCACTAAGCAAAGAAAAGGAGGAGGCTGAATTGACTCCAGTTGGAATAACAATTGAATTTGGATTGACGGGTATGGGAGAATCAATCAATAAAAAGAATCAGACTTTCTTTAGTCCTAAATCCTAATCAATTCTTTCTGCCTCGGATTCAAAAGTTGGTGTGATTAAAAGCAAAAGAAAAAGGGAAGCAAGCAGATTTGTGGTCTAGAGAAGAAAGTGAGAGGTGGTGGGGAAAAAAAAATGTGAATCATCCACCAATAATAACACACACGCGTATCACAACTACAAACTGAACCCACAAATTGCATGAAACCAATCCAGAAAAGTAATACGAAAAAGAAGAAAGAATTAAGTTGAAGCAATGAAAATGAAATGAGACCTTTCATTCTCAGTATCCTTTTCTTGATCTCCATGGCGCAAGCTTCGCAATGCATGTAAACCTGCAGCACAACGGTGATCACTGGTGGAGGCTGCAGCTCCAATTGTAAAGAAGCCACCGACACCCGATTAATTATCAGCCGCTGCTTGCTTTAATGAATTGAACAAAGGGGGGTAAAAAGGAATCGAAGAACAGAGTAGAAACAGAGGAATAGAAAAGAAACCTCGGGCTTGGGGTCTTGAGGCGGCTTGGGTTTCTCATCTTCAGCTTTCTTCTTTTCGTCCTCAGAAGGGGGCTTTGGGATTGGGGAGATGAGCTCCACTTGACGATGGCTCTTCCTCTGAATCCTGTCCAGCACCTTCAACGGATCCGCTTTCTCTCCCTTCACCACAACCTTGCTGCTTTTGCAATCCGTAATCACATCTTCAACCCCTGTATCCAAAAGTAAATCCAACCACCAAATCAATCAGAAAAAAAAAAAACAAAACAAAAAAACCAGAGAGTGTGCGTGAGAGAGAGAAAGAGGGCCAACCGTCGAAGCCTTTGAGGCAGCGGCGCACCTTACGGGCGCAACCTTCACAATGCATGTAAACCTTGAGCACAATCTCTTGTGGAGGAGGAGGAGGAGGCGCCGCCTCCTCCGCCTTGGGTTCCTCACCTCCTTCTTTCTTCTCATCCCCAACCGGTTTCTCCGCAGCCGCCGGTTTGTCTTCCTTCTTCTTCTCTTCCTCGCCCTTTTTCTCCTCTGTTTTCTTCTCTCCTTCCGCCGCTGCAGCAGCCGGTTTCTTTTCCTCCTGAATCGAAAACAGAGAGATGAAACACTGAGCCAAAAACGCAGAGGAAAACTGAACTGATTGATTGATTTGAATCTTAGAAAGGAAGGAAGGGGGGAAAAAAGGCGTCGAACCTCGCCCATTTAGCTCGGTTTTCAGATTCAGAAGCGAGTGCAGTTTTGTTTCTGAAGGTTGAAGGAGATAAGCTATGAAGCAGAGGGAAATTTGTTGTGGGGTGGGTGATGATGCTGTTACCGTTCACTGCTGCTTCTCTCTCTCTCTCTCCGAGTATGCGATGACTGGTGTGCCTCTGTATGTGTGAAGAAGGTGGCAGGGAGGAGTTTTAACTTTTATGTGTGCGTTTGATGGGTGGGGGATGGCATGGCAGGCTGCTGGGTATACTTTCAATTATTAATTAATTAATTAATATTATGCGAGCGAGATTTCCACCCACAACAAATTAAAATCAACTCGTTACCGTTTACTTGTTTCTAATTCTCACTTTTCGGTGTATGATAACAACAACAAAAAAAGGGTTAATCACGTTTTTTTTTTTAAGAAACGGAGTGCTACGGGCACCCCAACCGTTAACTAACAACCATTTGGGGTGTTTCCACCTTTCCACCCCAATCAAATTAAAATACAACCAGTACTTTAACATTGGGTCCGGCTATTCAAGAAAGTGGATCCCCCTGCTGAAGCTTGTGTCCTGCTGAGGCCAAGTAATCGGCAACAAAGTTGCCTTCTCTATAAACATGTAGTAGCTGAACCTGCCAATCAAGTGCCAGCAGCCGTCGAGCTTCCTGCACCAAAAGGAAGTGGCGATGCCGGTTCTCGGCTTCCTTAATGAGTTTGATGGCAGTCTGTGAGTCCGTGTGTACGACGATGCACCTGAGTCCCTCGTTCCACGCTACCTGTAATCCCTTCACTATTCCCTCCAGTTCAGCTCTCGTAATGGATACTTCGCCCAACTTCATAGAGAAAGCCCTTATTAGCCGCCCATTCTCGTCCCTTAACACACCTCCCGCTGCAGCTTGTCCATTAACCACCGATCCGTCCGAATTCAAAGCGCCCAGCCTTGCGGAGGATGTTCCCATTTGATTTCTTGTATGTGTCTACGCGGTGTAGATCAGTTCCCAGAACCCGCGCCGAAGAAGCTGCCTCGATCCACTGGATTAAGTTTGCCGCCTGTCTCCTGATCACGTCCGGGGAATTTAGAACTTTTTCAAACACATGCTTGTTCCTGTTTTTCCACAGTAGCCAGCAGATGCTAGCAAACATTGTGGGGTTCACTTCCTTGTTTCGCCCCATGAGGTAATGAAGAGACCACTTTATTCTATCTTGCTCGAAAAACACTTCACCAGGTTCGTCACCTAGTAGTTCCGCCCATACAGCTCTAGCCAAAGAGCATTCTCGCACCACATGAAGGGTGCTCTCCTCCTCAAAATCACAAATAGGGCACGTATTCGACGAGCTCAGGTGTGGACGAGCACGTTCACATTTTGCAAGCAGCCTATCATGCACAAGTAGCCAGAAAAAAGCCCGAATTCTTTGCGTAGCCGGGATCCTCCAAGTGCTTGCCCCCCGGTCTTTCCTCCTCATCCGTAAGTTCATAGGCCGTCTTCAGACTGAACTTTCCGTTCGGCGTAAGTCTCCAAACAGGAATATCATTCTCTGTTCCGTTGGGTACAGGGAGAAGCTGAATTTGAGCCACCACACTCTCTGGTAGAAAGGCCCTCATATACGCTACATTACATTCCCCATTAAGGCTCAATTCGGCCACTTTCAAGCTACTCGCCTCCTCCGGTAGATCACCTACATACTCCGCCGGGGGGTCCTGCAGCCACCGATCATGCTAAAACAACGTCTGCCCTCCACTTTGAACCATCCACAAAGTTGCCTCCGGAATCAAGTGCATCACTCTTATCACACCCCTCCGCAAGTTTGATAGCCTACCCGTTCTTCGTGGGACATAGCCATCAACTGTTTGCGACATGTATTTAGCTCTGATCACCCGCGCCAATAAACTCTTTGTCTCCGTCAGCAGTCTCCATAAGATTTTCATATAAAAGCCTCGTTCATTCTCTCTGCACTGCGAATACCCAACCCTCCCTCATTTTTTCGGTCTACAGATTGTCTCCCGGTCAATAAGGTGAATCTTCCTCCCTGCTTCTGTGCTTCCCAATACAAAAGCTCGGATCTTCCTGTCTATATAATCCTAGACACTTGTTGGTAGCAGGGTCGTCTACATAGTATAAGCTGGGAGAGAAGATAGTACAGCTTCAGCTAGTGTCATCCGCCCTGCCAGGTACATACTCCCCGCCTTCCACCCAGCAAGTTTAGCATCAATCTTATCAATTAGAGCTGTGAAAGTATTCTTTGACACCCGATCATGAATACTACCCAGATTATTCGTTGAAGGGATCCCTAGAGCAGAGCTGAGATCCTGGCTGCTAGCTGCTGTCACATTACGCGAGAAGTAAACGCGGGATTTTGATTTGCTTATTTGTTGTCCTAACACCGCACCAAACTACTCAAAGCACCTGAGTATAACTGCTACCTGCTCCAGAGAGGCCTCGCCAAAAAAGATCAAATCATCTGTAAAAAAGAGGTGTGACAGTAGCGGGCCATTACTAGATAATCTGATCGGCTTCCATGAACCCCCTGTTACTTCCATCTTAATCAGCTGGCTTAGATGCTCCATGCAAAGGGTAAAAATATATGGCGAGAGTGGACACCCCTGTCGAAGTCCCCGCGATGGGGTAAATGCATCTGTCAGGCCGCCATTCCACTGAATCTGCATTGTTGCCATGGAGATACATTGCATCATAACTGCTATGAAACTAGCTGGCGCCCCTGTTGCCTTTAACATATCTTCCACAAACTTCCACCGAATTCTATCATAGGCTTTAGCGAGATCAATTTTAATCGCCATCCACCCAACCCGTCCTTTCTTCGCTCTCATAGAGTGAACCACCTCCTGCAAGATGCATATATTGTCAGTTATGTGTCTTTCACTAGTTTAGGCATCAGCGGCTTTAGTTTTTCAACAAGACTTTTCATCAGGATCTTGTAAATCACATTGCAAATACTGATCGGTCGAAACTGTTCAATCAGTCCCGGGAAAAAACTCGTTTGAGTTTCATTCACTAGTTTAGGCATCAGCGGACTGCGGCTTTAGTCTTTCAGCAAGACTTTTCATCAGGATCTTGTAAATCACATTGCAAAGACTGATCGGTCGGAACTGTTCAATCAGTGTTGGCTTCAGGACCTTGTGAATCAATACCAGAATTGTCTGATTGACTTTCCTAATCCAACCCGGATTTTCCCAGCAGCTCCGAACAAATTCCACCACACGGGGACCCACAATTTCCCAACATCGCTGGTAAAAAAGTGGATTTAGACCATTCTTTCCCGGAGCTTTCAGCGGTCCCATGGCCCGAACAGCTTGCAACACCTCCTCCGCTTCAAAGTTCCCTTTAAGCGTTGCCCAAGCATTACTATCGAGCTCTGGGAAGTCGGCCATTAGAACCCCTTCGTTTGACAGCTTATCTAAGTACAATCCTGCAAAATGGGAAACAACCAAAGTTAGAAGCTGGTCCGGCTCCTCAATTCACTCTCCATCTCCTCCGCGTAGCGCCATAATTCTATTTCTTTTCCTTCGTCGGACTACTCGAGTATGAAAATATTTTGTATTTCGGTCCCCCAGGGTTGTCCACTCCTGCGTCACCTTCTGTCGCCATAGCAAATCTTCGTGAACTAGGACTTCTTCAATTTCCAACCTTGCTGCAGTTAGTGTTGCCAACTCTGCATCACCACCATGTATTTCTTCCAACCTCTCAATTCGGGCCAACAGGGCATTCTTTTTCTTTAAAATGTGGCTGAATGTCTCCCAGTTCCATTTACTTGCTTCTCTCGAGAATTCACTGGTAGAGTGAACAAAGTCCGCTCCCCGTCCCCACGCTTCCTTGACCATATCCTGGAAACCATCGTGAGTGAGCCATGCAACCAGAAACTTGAAAGGCTTCGGTCCGGCCGGTTGTAAGGATGGGTTAATTTTTATAAGGATGGGTCTATGATCCGACTTGACTCAGGGGAGGTGTTTTACAACCGTCTCCGGGAACAACGTTGTCCAAGATTGGTTTGTGAGTCCCCGATCCAGCCTCTCCCTCACTCCTGCTCGAAACCACGTGAATTGTGGCCCTGAATGACCCAGGTCCATTAGTTCTGCGTCAAGAACACAATCCTGAAACTCCCGGGCTTGCGCAACATCGATACCTGCCCCTCCCATCTTTTCTGACGCGTGTAAAATAACATTAAAGTCACCTGCTATCAGCCAAGGCTTAACTTGCGTTGCTGATATGCCTCTGATGGCGTCCCATAATTCTCTCCGTTGAAAAAGTGCGGGATTTCCATAAACAGCCGTAAAGTTCCATTGTTTGTCCCCATAATGAACATCCACGTGTAATAATTGAGTCGTTTTACCCCGCTCTGTTACTGTTACGACTGAAGAATCCCAGAGCAGCCAGATTCCTCCCAAAAATCCTCTAGCCTCCACCACTAATTTCTCATCGTACCCCATGTTGTTGATCACAACTTCAGCTCTATCACCACTAATTCTTGGCTCAACGATGACCACGATTTTAGGCTGATATTTCCTCTTATACTCTTTAAAAACACGAAGAAAGCGATCGCTTCCTGCTCCCCTGCAATTCCAAGCAAAAATGTTCAGATATATCGACTTAGATTTGGGGTTGCGTGCGCTACGCTATGGGTTTATCTCGGGGGTTTTCAACGACCCCCCTGTGCCACTAGCTACTTCGATCGTGGCCTGCTCCGACTGTACTGTTGGGTTTCTCATTTCATACGCATTCCCTGGGCTGGGGTTGCTATCCACTTGATTAGACCCCCCTCCCTTGTCGGCGTTATTGGAGGTAGTGGGACAATGAGGGGTCTTCAAATTTAGAGCTCCAAATTGACTATGCTTTTGCTTTGCATGGGAGTCTTGTACATTTGGAAGTATTTCTGTACCCACATCTGCTTCCTCTGGTTCTACTTGGTCTGTCACTCTCTTCTCATTGCTATCCTCGTTGAATTGGTGAGCCGATGTGGACGCTATAGTCCGTGTAGTGTTCGCCTTACTAGTGTCCGCCTCCTTCTCCTTTCTCTTCGGGGCTCCCTATTTCTCTACCCATATTTGTTTATCCTTTGCCGATGCGGACTTGCTCGCCTTTTTTTGATTCCCCGGTTGGGCACCACTGTATACCTTATGATATGATCCCAAATAGCCAACTGTACACGTCACAATTACTTGACAAAGAAGCGATCAAAGTTGGGAAGAAGAAAGGCAGAATTTGGCTAAGTCAAAATCTGTGTTCAGGGTACATACTTTGGAGGTATGGTTCTCTCTATTGGCTTGGTGGAAATGCATGTTTAAGGGCTTGTTTTACAGAGAAAGTTTCCATGTTTCCAATGGTATGCTTTCTGGATCTATATGATGTCATTAAAGGTGTTTTCCAAGGCCTCAAAGTTGCTACCTCAAAACTGGAAAACTGCCAGAAAATGACTAAGGCAGAAAACTGTTTTGTGAAGCCTACTTTGGAGCTTAATTCGAGGAGTATAGATCTGATTCAAGTCCAAAGGCTTCCACAACATGAAACTAGGTATGTTTATCTACCAAGAGAAGGAATCAGATGAATAATTGGAGTTCGGGAAGGCCTCGAACGAAGGGCGCGAAGTTAGTACGAAAGCTGCCTTTTGACTGTTTTGCTGGCAGCTTACTTCTGCGCCAAGAAAGGAAGTATATGGCCGAATTTTGAGTCCTTTTTAGAGTTTTTTTACCATAATTAGTTTCCTTGTTCATGTACGGTTGTATTAGGGTTTATTGTCTTTAAATACCTTTCCAATTCACGTTGTAAAGCAGAGTTGAGTTGAATGAAAATTGCTCCTTTGTGAGAATTGTGTTCTTTGAGAGTTCTCAAGAATCAAATCCTTGAGTTAGTTTTGTGAGGATTCCATTGCTAATTCGAGAACCCTTGTTAATCTTTTCTGTGAGGATTCCAGAATCGATTTACGAGTTTTCTTATCAATCAGGTAATCACCTTGATTGTGGCGAAAGTCTACCTTTTCCATCATTATCGTTCGAGAGTGTGTTTGCTGCGTTACTTTGATCAAAAGCACCCCCTG